GGCTGTTTTGTACCTGTCTTTTTCTGCAATTTGAATTTGCCAATATCCCGATTTCATATCAAATTTAGAAAAAATTACTGCATTATTCAATCTATCCAAAAGGTCCTTTTTATTAGGAATTGGATATCTAACCCATTTTGAGGCTTTATTAAGAGGTTTGTAGTTTATCAGCAATCTAGGTACCCCTCTTTCTAATTCTACTGCGTTTTCTACATAGAAGGCAGAAGCTCCAGGGAGATGAGCTTTTCCTAATTAACTTTTTCCCTAATAAATCTTGAATTTCAGATTTACAAATTTCCATTAGCCTAGCATTCATCTGAATTGGCCTAGCTTTGGTTGGGATTTTCTTTTCATCAAAATCAGGCTCATACGGCAATTCTACTATGTGTTTTTTCCTATTCCAAAAAGCATTGGGTATTTCAGCACAAACTTGATTTTCAAACATATTTTGGACTTCCTCTATTTTTTCTTTTACCTTATTGTTTTGCAGTTGTTCCTCTATTCTTTTGTACTGCAATTCTTCTTTCAGATGATATAGATAATTCTCTTTCTTCTTTATCTTTTCTTGAATTTCATTAATATACTTATGCTTGGGTGGTTGAGAGAACCTAAAGACTATAGGTTGACCCTCTACCTCAGTTCTTATTCCCTCTTCAGAAACAGAGAAAGGATAAAGCATATTAATGAAAGGGGTTCCTAATATCAGGGACTGGTTTAATCCTTTCACCAAGACAAAAGGGGTTTCAAAGCAAATTCCCTGATTAAGTACAGCAGCGTTAGATAATTTAAACTGAATCCCCATCCTTTGACTATTGACTGCTGTGTGTAGGACTTGGGTAGTTTTTTGAAAATACATTGTTGGTACAACACCTTCATTTATACAATTAAGATCGGCTTCAGTGTCTATCAGCCCTTCAACAGTAAACTTGTAGGTTTTATTAATAACAATAGTTATCATTGCATACCATTTTTGTGATATTACCTTATCTATGCTATTAATGAATCTCATAGTATTAACTTGTTCTTCCTGTAGGGTTTCTCTTGTTACAGGTTCTATTTTCTCTTGAAATTCTTCCATTAGGTTTTCGAATTCTAATTGCTCAGATTTTTCTTCTGTATCTTTTTCTGAAAAAGGACGATAGAGTTCTAAAACTCTAACCCTATTTTTTAACTCTCTAAGTTCTTCTTTCACATCATGGACTTCGCACTGAAGGTCGCTAAGCTTAGGTTCTTTTTTATGAATTTTATCATTCATCCTGTTTACTATAGTTTTAAAACTATAGTTTTCAACTATGGTTTAAAACTAAAGCTCCCTAATTTTTTTTGATATAAACAAAAAAATATAGGCTTAAAGTGATCATTAAAAATAAGAAGATAAAACAGGAAAGTGGTAAGTTTCTTTCTGTCGATTGTTTTGGTGGTTTGCTTGTCTTTCTTGCTTTTAAAAGTTTGGGGTGGATGGATTACCTCTTTAGTTGATTAAAGAATTAATTAGAATTTAGAGTTTCCTATTCCTATTCCTATTCCTCTATATTTAATTTCCTTTCCTAGTATCTCCACCTTTGCCCTTGTATATAAACCCTAAAGAGGTCCACTATCTCTAATATCCGGCGTCCCATTGAGCTTTTTCAAAGCAGATAAAAAGAGAGAGAATTCAATAAACTGTTATCTCCCTCTCTATACTATACATACATACATATATATGGAGCGCAATAGTTTCAAATGGGGCCTGAGCCTGCACCTTGGAGAAGAAGAAATTATTGAGGAGGTGCCTGCTGACGATGAGGTTGGAGACCAATAAACCTATTCTTAATTTACAAGTTAATTTTTGTTGTTTGGTTACTTTACTTGTACCGATCATCATTATATGTATAACACTAAACTCAAATAATTGTGTGAAAAATATAGTAGCACGGATTTGCTCCCATATATATGATTGGTTCTAATCCAAATATTAAATTCATAATTTCTTTGTTTTATTATTAGCCACCAAGGAAAAGAAGAAGGGAAACCAATCAGACTTTCTTTTCATATTTCAGTGGGAAACCAACTTTTATTGAGACATTAATGTTGTCAAGTGAACGTACATGTGCACAAGAGTACGCTGGTGGAAGTCAAGTGAACGTGTGCGTGCGTGTAGAATCATTAATTATTTCATTAGAGCTAGAGTTTAAATTTTAGCCTAGGATAGGATTGGTCTCAAATGTTGAGATTTTCTCAACACGAGGCGTAAGTATATATGTATATATGTATATATAATTGTATGTATGAATCTTTGTCCTCAATCAACAACTAGTTGTTCCACCATTACTCGACGGAAAGCAAAACTACAACTGGAAGACAACTATGGGATGCTATTTGGGAAGATATAAGATCAACATTGGGAGTAAAGAGAGTTGTGGTTGGAAAGTACATGGAGTTTTGTATAGTGGAGGAGAAGTCGATTGTGAAGCAAGTTGAACAACTTAATGATATTTTCGATTGCCTTGCTGCTTTTAGGGTTCCTGTGGATGAGATGTTTCATGTCTATAACATCATCAACAAGCTCCCTGCATCTTGGAAAAATGTGGCCTGGAAGTTGCTGTTCGACAAGAATCTCAATCTATCAATGGTGATGGAGCGTTTGAGGGTTGAAGAAGAGTCGCCAATCAAGGAGAAAGCACCACTAGTTTATTAACGAATTTATTCATCATTAGCTAGCAACAATTTATATTATATAGCTTGCATTAATATTGAAGAACGTTTTGAGCAACTTAGTTAGAGCTAGCTATCTATGATTGTGTATCATTAAAAAAAATTATTTCCAAAGAGACATATGAAGCACATATGAACTAATCATACAACGAGTCTATAGCTTAATGATAAGAGCATTTGCTGCATATTATTAGAGATTTAAGGTTCGAACCACAATGACACCTCCCACTTCCTGTTCTAAAATTGATGATATTTTTATTGACAAAATAAATTTAAAGAAACATAACAAAAACAAAAAACAACAAAACAATACAAGAAATTGGACTAAAGCCCAAAATTGGAAGACAATTTATTCAACAACAGGGCCATGAAGTTATAAATATAGGGGCAAGTCAAATTAAATGTCAAGCAATGTAAAACGAAATGGAGAAACCATATCAGCTTTTTAATTCGTGTCAATATTTTTTTTGTGAATTTATCTTTATTTGTTGCACTGCAACTTGAAAAGGATAACACCATGAACTCGATTGGGTTTATCGGTATTTTGTTTTTGGTTAAGATTGGTGTTAGGGTTTCACCTTCGTCTCCTCCTTCCATCTCCAAACTTTAATTTTAGAAATTCTAGTCATGTTGTTTGCTAATATGTTTTAATCTTTGATAAAATAAACTAAAAAGCGTAATAATTTATTGCATGGATTAAAAACAAATAAAAAACCTCCGATGTGTTCATAGGCAAACGTACTCTTCTTCAACTCTCAAAGGATCCATCAACACTACTAAAGTCAAAGGCTCCTCCTTGCCCTTCAACAACTTGATGTTTGAGTACTTCCAAGAGGCAGGGAGCTTGGCTGAGATGACAGAGACATGAAATTTCTCACTCAACGTGATTCCAGAAGACACAACGTCAATGAGATTGAATTCTTGAACTTGCTCCACAACTGGCTTCTCATCAACCATCTGACATTCCATGTACTTTCTAACCAGATATCTCTGAGTTCCGGACATTAATTTTAGAGCATCCCACAGTTGTTTAGCAGTTGTAGTTTTCTTTCTCTTTGCGTAACGATGGAGGAGATCATCACATAGATAGTTCAAGATCGTGCGAAGGCATTAAAAAAGTGTGTCTCACGTACGCCGCATCATTACTTAACATCAAGCTTAAGGGCATAGCCACATTGTAAAAACTTTACAAAAATAAGGTCTTTATTGTCAAAATTGAAAATTCTTGAACAAACACTTGCCTTAAGGTTAAGGGGACAACTGCACGGTGCCAAACTGAAAATAACCCTCGAGGCTACTACCATATTATTAAGAGGATTAGCATATATATTTAAATTGCTTCTTAGTTGACAAATTAAGTTGTCTTAATTATGACAAGGGGTGACATTAGCTGCACATACATTGATGAAACATAATCCTCTGTCCAATAGACAAGGCAAAACTAACAAGGTTCGTTGGTCTATATATATTTACAAATCTCAACCCTGAGGCTAGATTGTAATACATCATTTACATGTCAGAAAGTGCAAGAAACTTATAGCTCTGCAGACTCGTGGGTTTACGTATAAGAGTGTGGAGATGAACCTAACTGACTCTCTCTCATCCACTTTGAACTGAATTGCGAAGGTCATGAAGGGCAAGCATTGGAAATGGCTCCTCAATTAGAACACCCACCTACAGACATCAATTACCATATTAGAGCATGCATTATCTACCAATAAGGGGGATATATGAATATGAGTGGTATATATTAATATTCCGTTTCAGTTGGACAAAGCAGTCAGAAGTTTGGGGGTTGTATAAGAGATCAAGGAGAGGTAACTCATATGGCAGAATAGCAGCTAAGTGTCTCTGAAATCTTCTGCGACCGGCTTTCGGGAATCCAGTTCATTTCGGAGAATGATGGAGTACACAGGACTAAATGTTACTTTCAGAATTCTTACAATATGCTAAAAACAATTTTTGACATATCCTATATATTGTTTAGAGTAGTAAACGTAGACGTTCTAGAATGAAACATACATGAATTCAAGTTTTCTCATATTAGTCAGTCACTCTGTATCTTTCATTCTTAATGCCACCAAACAATTAATTTAAGCAATATAAAGGACAGACACTAACATTGGATTAATATATACCAAAGCTTTAACCTACTACACCCAAATGGTTATTGATGTACACACACAGTGCTTCAATTGCTTATCCAATCTTTGATACAATATTTGTGTAATGGCATCTATGAGCAGAGACACTAATAGGCTAATTAATTTGTCACAAAATCATCATATGCATGAAACCAAACACAGACATACATACATTGGATTGATATATACCAAAGCTTTAACCTACTACACCCAAATGGTTATTGATGTAAACACACAGTGCTTCAATTGCCTATCCAATCTTTTATACATTATTTGTATAATGGCATCTGTGAGCAAAGACACTAATAGGCTAATTAATTTGATGTGTCACAGAATCATCAAATGCATGAAACCAAATACAGACATACATGCTTGTTGATGTCCTCGTTGAGAACCAAAAGCTGCCAAACTTGTTCAAATGAGCAAGCACTGCTGCTCTCAGCGCTGGTTTTGCGCTTCTTGGCAGCAGAATCAGAAACCTCCACCACAGGCCTCTTGCCTCTGTCATTGCCGAACATCCCGGTTAGGAGCCTCCACAAAAAGTCGTTGTACGGTGGCTCCTTCATATGTCTCAGATCTGGAGGCGCTTTGTAATAGTCATCTAAGAAGAGGTTTATGACATCACTCTTCTCACGGAGGTCCGATCCACCGAGGGAACGGAGGTATTGGAGCACCTCAAAAGTGGTTTTAGGCTTCTCGTTTTCTTTGTGGACATATAAAACATACTTGAACGTGAAATAACATAGCGAGCCGTCTAGGTTTTTATGATACGCTCTCGTGACTATGTCATCGGCCTGTGGTTTTGAAATACCTTCAATTCCTCGCAAAACCTATTACATCAATTCAATGACTCAACAATGCAAACTGGACAAGAGAGTAGTTTGCATTGGATACAATGACATTACGATTTTGCTGTTGTGTGAGGTTGAGGTCTTTGCAAAGTCCATCAATTGTCTCGTTCAGGAGAGTTGGAAAGTGCTTTGTACTAAAGATTTCAGTGATGATTTGGTCTATTATCTTATCTGCCATGGCCATGTCGCTGCTGGTAAGGGTTAGTGTTTTGGACATAGAAGAGGGAGTGGCTTTGTGTAATAAACCAAATCCTCACCAAAATCTTTAGTACAAACCACTTTCCAACTCTCTTGAACGAGACAATTGATGTACTTTGCAAAGACCTCAACCTCACACAACAGCAAAATCGTAATGCAATTGTATCCAATGCAAACTACTCACTTGTCCAGTTTGCATTGTTGAGTCATTGAATTGATGCAAAATCAAAAAACAGCTTCATGTTGCAAAATACAACAGCAAAGTCTCCATCAACCTGCATCAATGCAACAAATCAGGTGTTACTTCAACAGCAGTAGGCTATTATTATATACTCAATACTGAGAGATCAATCCACCTCTCAGATATTAAAGCCACAAAAACCCTAAACCCTAAACCACAAAATCAAAACCAATTTCAACGAATGCAAATGTACAAATGTCTAAATCTATAATACGAGACTACCAAAAAGCAATCTTTAAAAGGCAATTTAACAAACACAATGAGGGCAATTGCCATTTAAAGACAAAGGTGAGAACTACATAATGAAATGGGGGAATTTACCAGAACTTGAATTTGGGTAGGCGGCGGACGAAGGGTCGAAACTCATCGGAT